ATTCTTTTTCCTTATAAATCACTTCTCCCTGTCACACCCCGAGGCCAGTTTTTAGGGCGGGCCGGACGTTTCGCCTTAGACTTCCTCACCATGTATGACTCTGAAGCTTAGAACTTGGCAACAAATTCGCAGATGGAGCGCGGGTGGTTTTCTAAATGTGGCTCCCGCTTTAGCGCGGCGCACGTTCATTTAAGAATTTGCAAGAGTTTCATGGATTGAGGGCGGGTGGCTTTCAAAATGTGGCTCTCGCCTCAGCGCGGCGCACACTCGTTTGAAAGCACTGCAAGAGTTTCACGGATTGAGGGCGGGTGGTTTTCAAAATGTGGCACTCGCCTTAGCGCGGCGTACATTCGTTTTGAGAGACAAACTGTGGCTCTCGCTGTAGCGCGGCGCGCATTCGTTTTAAGAACTTGCAAGAGTTTCGCGGATTGACGGCGGTTCCTTTTCAAACTGTGGCTCTCGCCCCAGCGCCGCGCACATTCGTTTACACAAATTGCAAGAGTTTTACGGATTCCCGTCATCAGCGTACCAGACCTGGTGTTTTGAAAAAATTCAGCGGGCGCAACAGGTACGTTGATTCGCTGTGTTGAAGTAAGTGCCAGGAATGGCGTTCTGGCACGATTCAGGATCGCCAACACGCAACAGTCAGGTTGATCCCTGGCGTTGGAATCCCGAGAACAATGTTTTGGCATGCTTCAAGGTCTTCAAACGGTTGTCTTCCAACGAGGCAGCTCCCTCAATGGAAATGAACCGTCGTAGGGGCCTATGAAGAGGGAGCTTGGAGGGAGGGTTTATTCAGACATCGTTTATGACTCTTGGGTTTACAGTGGTCCTCCTCCCCCTCCTCCTCATCCTCCTCCTCCTCATCCTCCTCCTCCTCCTCATCATCATCATCACCATCACCATCACCATCACCATCACCATCACCATCACCATCACCATCACCATCACCATCACCATCACCATCATCATCATCATCATCATCATCATCATCATCATCATCATCATCATCATCATCATCATCATCATCATCATCATCATCATCATCATCCATCATCGCTCATCTTCTCTCCTCCTCCTCCCCTGCTGCTCCTGCTCCTCCTCCTCCTCCTCCTCCCTCCTCCTCCTCCTCCTTCTCCTTTCTTCTTCCTCCTCCTCCTCCTCCTCCTCCTCCTCCTCCTCATCATCTCATCATCATCATCATCATCATCATCATCATCATCATCATCATCATCATCATCATCATCATCATCATCATCATCATCCTCATCCTCGTCCTCGTCATCCTCGTCCTCATCCTCCTCCATCTCCACCTCCTTCTCCTCCTCCTCCTATCACCATCTCCTCCTTCTCCTCCTCCTCCTCCTCCTCATCTCTCCTCCTCCTCCTCCTTCTCCTCCTTCCTCCTCTCCCTCCTCCTCCTCCTTCTCCTCCTCCTCCTCCTCTTTTTCTTGTTCCTTCTTCGTCTTCTTCCTCTCCTCCTCCTCTCTTCCTCCTCCTTTTCTCCTCCTCCTCCTGCTCCTCCTCCTCCTCCATCCTCCTTCCTCCTCCTCCTCCTCCTCCTCCTCCTCCTCCTCCTCCTCCTCCTCCTCCTCCTCCCCCTCCTCCCCCTCCCCCTCCCCCTCCACCTCCCCATCCTCCCCCTCCTCCTTCTCCATCCCCCCTCTATATAATTACACTTTTTAGCGAAAGTAGACCGGGCGAGACCCTGTGGGCGCAGCCCCGCAACAACGGTTCGGCCGCGACGGTTCTCCTAGAGTACCAAGAAAAAGAAACTCGCTGATCGACTTGGCAGAGTGGGGATTCCATCAGCCGGAAAGGGAACGTTGGGAGGGGCGGTCCAGCTCAGGGGGGGAAACGCCGACCTGGCCGATAGACTGGCGATGGGCCCCCGATAGCGAAACCGCACCATCCTGGCCGCGGTGGGCTATCGCTCACCTATCAGCGATGGATCGGCGATTGGGGGTTGAGGCGTTCTCCCCCCCTGGCGCTGCCCCTGACACCCTTCAAACTCCAGAGCTTCCCCTTGTCCGGGCCTCTGTGGAGGTCTCGCGGGAGCCTCCGGAGGCCTCCGCGGAGGCCTGGAGGCCTCGGGAACGCCACCAAGCAGGAGGCCTCCGAAAAGGCCCCTGGAGGCCGCGCTTAAGGAGCCAACAGAGCCCAGAAACCTCGATCCCCGATCGCCGTCCCTCCGTCGTCGTCGCCGCCGCTGCCGCTCGTCACAGATCGTCGTCGCCGCCGCCGCCGCCGCCGCCGCTGCCCGCCGCCGCCGCCGCCGCCGCCGTCCCATTTTCCGGTGCGATTTTTTTCCGGTGCGATTTCTTCCAAATCAAATCAAATCAATCAAATCAAATCAATCCCATCCGAAGCCCCAGAGCTCCCGACCCCTTCCCCAGGGTTGGGCAATCTTGCGCGCCCCGGATCCTGTGCTTGCTGGCCCCGTGGGGCCCACGACGGGCCCGCGAGGAGGGCTGGCACCGAGGCAAACTCGGGTCGGGCGAAAGGGGGGGATAGCAAAGGGGGGTTTGAGAATCAGCTCACGTAGCTGATTTTCCCGGCGCCTCCCGGCGCCGGAGGCGGCTGTGTCTCGAGGAATGGGCCCCTCTGTGGTGCCGAAACCAGCTGCATGCAGCAAATTTCGTAACCCCCCCTTTCCTAATCCCCCCCTTTCGTCCAGCCCGACAAACCCGCGCGTTGCAAAAATCAGACGCCGACGCCGCCGCCGACGCCGAGGCTCCTCCGGCCGCAGCCCCGCCAGCGCTGCCGCCGGCGCGCCGCCGAGCCCGCCGCCGCGCGCGGCGCAGAAGGCCCCCACGGCGCGCCCGCCGCGCGGGCGCGCGCCGAGGGCGGCCGAGGCCAGCAGCGCCACCGAGGCGCAGGCGCGCCGGCCGGGCCGCCGCGCGGCGGCGCCGCCGCGCAGCGCCGCCCCATCGCGGCGGCTCCAAGGCGCGGCGGAGCGCCCGGCGCTCGCCGCGGTCCGGCGCGGCGCCCCGCGGCGGCGCGAGGGCAGGGCTGGCGCCAGGTCGGGCCTGTCCCCCTACAAGGGGATCCTGGGCGAAAAATTAGAAATAGTCAAAAAAGCCCAGGGCTGCGCGGGTGCCCTGCCGCCTCGCGACGAGAACCCCACCAAGTCCTCGGTTGCCACCGTTCCGCCTCCCGCCCCTCCTCCTCAAGCCAAGGCCGGCGACCCGGTGGTCGTCCCGGTCCAGCTTGAGGACCCGCAGCGCCACGAAGAGCAGGTGCTTGCACACGCCACCCCCCTTCGCGAAGTCCAGGCAGGAACAGGAGTTCCCCTGGCCGCAGGGCAGGAGGCAAAGGAGTTTTAGGCCGCCTATCTTCGCGCATGGCGCCGCGGGATGCGCGATGGCGATTGTCTTCGCGCCCTCGCGCCCTCGCGCTGCGCACCGGCACCCATGGGAGAAGGGCGGCGCGATGCGCGCTGATCTCCGCGCCCACGCGGGCAATCTCAGCTGGAGGCGAATCCGGCCGCTGGCCGCCAGCGATCCAGGGCAGGTCCAAAAACTGGCGGAAGACGACGGGGTCCACGGATAGATTGCCGTGCTGATCCCGGTCAGAACGTGCTTCAGGACAGATCCAGGGCTCGAGGACGACGACAACGGGGTCCACAGCCGGATTCCCCCTGCGAGTCCCGGCCAGACCGTGCTCCAGGACGGATCCATGGGTCGACCGTTCCCCTCCGAGTTGGAAGCCTCCTGAAGAATTGGGCCTCCTGGATTTAGAACGTGTGAGGAGGGGGACGGCAAAGGAAGAAGGAGGAGGAAGAGGAGGAGGAGGAGGAGGAGGAGGGAGGAGGATGAGGAGGAGGAGGCGGAGGAGGAGGAGGAGGGAGCAGGAGGAGCAGGAGGAGGAGGAGGAGGAGGAGAACGACGACGAGCAGGAGGAGGAGCTCCACGAGGACGACGAGCTCCACGGAGGGCGCGCCCTTGTCCCCGACCCTGAGGCCCCCTGGGACCCTCGCCCCCCCGGACGCGCGAATCGCGGCGTGGGCCGCGCCCGAGGCGCCGCCAGGGGGAGGGAGCGCACCGCCGATCCTCAGGGGCAACGATGCGCCGCCAGAATTTGACCATATCCACTGCTGCTGGGTCGTGTTGCGAGGACTCGGGGAGCGGCGGATATGGATATCTGCCCGCTCACGCGGGCGGGCAGATATCCATATCCACTGCTCCTCGAGATTCCAGGGCACGACTCCGAAGCGGTGGATGTGGACATATTCTGGCGGTGGAAACGAGAGGGGCGAACAGCCCAGGGGAGAGCAATACATAGGGGGCAAACAAACCTACCTCGCTTTTGGCCACCCTCGCCTCCAAGAGATACCAAACGATGCCAAACTGCGGCCTGCACTGATCAGGCCGCTTGACGAGGAGGCGCGTGGTATGATTTGGTTCTGCCTGGAAGCGAAAGCGGGGTAGGTAGTTCACGCTCTGAATACATGTATCCAGGGGCGCCGATGATCTACGTCTTCGGCAAGGCTCCCGGGCGAATGCGTGTAATGCCCGCCCCTGGGCTACGTCTTCGCCCCTACCGTCGCCGCCGAGATCCGGGAAATCCGCGCGGGCCTCCGAAGGCCTGTGTGGTGTTCCGCCTTTTGCTCTCCGAAGGTGGCGACGACGCCGACGACGACGACGACGACGACGACGACGACGCCGGAGGGATCGAAAGGTGTTCGAATGCCTTCGGAGGTCTTCGCGAAGCCCTATCGCTGGGAGCAGGGGCTCCCTCCCCTGGTCGCAGCAGGGAGAGGGCGGAGGCGGCGGCAGCGAGAGAGCTGAACGGTGAGGAGAAAGGGCGAAGACGACGAGGAAGGAACGGAGGAGTAGGAGGAGGAGGAGGAGGAGGAGGAGGAGGAGGAGGAGGAGGAGGAGGAGGAGGAGGAACAGGAGCAGGAGCAGGAGGAGGAACAGGAGGAGCAGGGGGAGCGGTCGGCGCTCATGATCGTAGACCGCCACCCCCCATCCAGCGACTCGAAACGACGGAAAAGCCCATCGACCCCAGAGCCATCGCAGAAAACGTGGCCACCATCTATGGCGAGCGGCGGCGCCAGCCTTTCGACCTTGAATTCCCACTCTGGGTTCCACTTAGGACGGGCAAAGACTTGGCACGGATCTGACACAATTCCTCTAGCAAATCGCTCTTGCAAATGGGCAGGAGCACCACTCAGCCGCCTTGCCGCCGACTTAAGGTCTGGGGGAAGGAAATCCCGCCTCCAGCCTTGACGGGCTGGGCACTGAAAGTGGCCATGAAACAGACTCCCTTGGGCCTCGCCACAAATGAATCAGTGCTCTGGCAACTGGGGGTCATGCTTGCGCAGCCTGGCTTGACACCAATGCGATTCGATGACCAGGCGTCGAAGCATTCGCTGCTCCCGAATCCCCCACCGCCCGTCCGCGCCCACGCCGCCCCCCTCAGGCGAGGCCTTCCACCTCCGACGCAGCAGCTCATAAAGCGGACGCCAAAAGATTTCTCCGACCCAGCCCTTACCCTGGTCAATCTTAGCCAGGCCCTCCCTGTCAGAAAGCCTTCTGGCCGCAAATTGCGATTTCCTCGCTACCAGAGCTGGCGAAACCTGACGAAGGTCCCACATTTCACCTCTGTCCGCAAGCAGGGTCCAAGGGTCAACAACACTAAGCCCAACCCGCTGACGCGCCAGGGTGAGGGCTGCAATTGGGCCCCCCACTCGGGCCCATGGCCGAGGCAATTGGAGCAGCTCCTGGCCACGCGCAAAAAAAAGCCTGCAACACCATAGGCGTTAGGCGCTGGTGAGCAAGGACCTGGCGATATGCGCGGAGGGCGTCGGCCGCGTTGATGACTAAGGGGTCTCGGCGCCAGCCACCGCGAACGCGCATGGAGGCCAACTCAAGGGGGCATCCTTTCGGGGGCCTCCCTTCCGCCCTGAGAGCCGCCACTCGGATCTTCTTGAGCTCCCCATTGGGGAGCCCCTGTATGTTGGCCCCCCCCACCCCCCACAGTGCCTTAGAGGTGATTTCCGCTCTGCAGACTGCGCCACACTGAGCCCCTGCCCCCCGAACCGAGAGGACGTTGGCAACTTTTTGCGGGGCCCCGCAAAACCGCTCGTGGCGCGTGCTGACCCGCCTTCCGTCAGTTGCATCGCCGCCCAAGTCCCCGTGGACATGCGCTCGCACCGACACTGGCAGGTCGCATCGACGGGCGACCTCCTCCGCAAGCTCGGCCGAGGAGGCGAGCAGGCCTAGCTCGTTGCCTGCAATCGGTAGCCCCAGCCTCTGCAAGCTGCAAGTCCGATGCCAGGGGCAAAAAAGCGGCTGCAAGCTCACGCGTGATGACCTGCCTCCCGCCAACCGCATGGAGCGAGATGTCAGTAATCACACTATTGACGCAGACTTTGAGCAGCGCTCTAAGCAGCACCAGGCGCGCAAAGGTGGTCGCCCCCGAACATCCCACATTGGCTGTGCCGGTGGGCTGGATCTCCCGACTGATCGCCCCTGGCCACGACACTCGCCGCGCCCCCCTGTGCAAACAGCAATATGCACGCAACAGCGCCAATGGAGACGAACTCACTTGAGCCGCCGCCAGAAGCTCTTGGTGCGAAATGTGCTCATAGAGCTTGCGCAGGTCAATGAAAAGGGTCGCTGCTTCCAGCCTTGCTGTCGACCTGGCGCACGCAGTCAAGGCATTGTGGGCCCAGGCGCTCTTGTCGCAAGCCGTGCTGGAGCGAAGCCCCCAGAGAAAAAGTTTCATCTACTGTCCGCTCCCAAGCCGCGCAAAGGCGGTGGCGGATACGGCCCCATACTCGAGCTCATAGGGGAAAGGGACCCATGGGTCTCACCCCTCCCGTGGGCTTGCTCAAAAATCCGCCGATCCGGCGTGTGAGTTTCAAGGAGTCTCAGCTACAGCCTCGAGGCTGAGCTTCAGCCTCTGGGGGGGTCGCCGGGGTGGCTCTGCCGGGGAAGGGGGGGTGGGGTGGGGGGGGGGGGGTGCGAGTTTCCGGCGAACCCCGGGGCCGCTCCGGGGGAGTGGAAGATAGGGGGGGGGGGGGCGCCATGCTCCGCTTTTTCCGGCGCTTTGGAGGAGGGGGGGGGCCCAAGAGACCCCCAAGGGGTTCCAAGAGGGCCCCGAGTCGCCGAAAAATCGCTCCAAGACGCCCGAGATGGCCTCCAGACGGCCCAAGGTGTCTCCAAGACGCCCCAAGAAGCTTCCAAGAGGCCTCCCAAGAGGGCCCCAAGAGGCCAGAATCGTTGATTTTCATTGGTTTTCTCAGGGTTTTTAGCGTTCTTGCCTTTTCGGGCGTCCGACGCTAGAAGACGGCCCAAGAGGCCCCCAAGTCCGTCCCAAGACGGCCCACGATGCTTCCAACACGGCCCAAGAGAGCCCCAAGACGGCCCAAGAGGGCCCCAAGACGGCCCAAGAGGGCCTCTGGACAGCCCAATAAGGCCCCAAGAGAGCCCCAAGAGGGGCCCAAGAGGGGGACCACGAACCGAAAGAACCGAGCTTTCCGCCCCAAGAGGCCCCCAGGAGGCCCCAAGAGACCCCCAAGGGGCCCCCAGAAGCCCACAAGAGGCCCAAACGAGGTTCCAAGAGGCCCCAAAACAGCTCCCCAGAGGCCTCCAGACTGCCTCCGGCAGGCCCCCGGTTTCTTCCGCGGCACCGCCCAGGGCGCCACCGGCAGGATGTCCTCCGTCTCATCGTTTTCCTTCAAGTTATCGCCTCTTCCTCTTTCTCCTCCTCCTCCTCTGCGACCTCACTCCTATCCCTCAACGATCGCGTCACCGAGTGCCTCTTCTTTGAAACATCCTCGCTCTTCAAACGCAAATCCATACACACATGCATACATACCTACATTTAAACACATTTGCATACATAGAAAAACAATCTTCCAGACATACATACTTACATTCACACACATACACACATATTATCATACACACATACAAACATACATACAAACTAAATACATACATACGCGCACAAGCATACATACATACATCCGTACCTACACACAGGCACACATGATCAATGCATGCATACATGCATGCACGCGTACATACACACACATATATCGTGAAACTCACCGCGTGCTCGAAACTTGAGAGAGACCGCGGGAAGTCGAGAGAAGCCGCGGAACGAGGCCTCTACTACTACTACCACTACTACCACAACCACTACTACTACTACTACTACCACTACTACTACTCCTACTACTACTACTACTGCTACTACTACTACTACTACTACTACTACTAATACTACTACTAGTACTACAGGAGCGTTTCCCAACTAGTATGTGTGTGTGGGTGAT